AAAAATTTTCAAGGAGAACTATTCCTGACTTCTTCGCTTCCACCTGGAGACGAGTTTTGTACCCTGCTTGTAGCCAAGGATCAATTTGGACAAGAGAGGAGTGTCCCGGTAGCGATAAACACAGGTATGGACTATCGTAATTTGAATAGTCAAAGAAAAAATTGAGGCAATCCAGAAGAGGTCCAAAAAATTTGCTCAATTTAGGTGGTCCGCGACGTGAATGTGTTAATTTTGACACTACTGGTTTGTCATCTTCAACTTATCATGGACCCCATCGTGGATCCGTTGGACCTTGGTTTCCGCTAGGTAGATACGCAGTCATCTCCTATGTAGTACACCTTTTAAGAAATCCGTTTAGGACCACCAACTTCGACCCCAGCTGAACCATTCACGACATACACAGTACAACCAGAACTTCCACCTTCTACCCCACGTTCGCCATGGGAAACAGAAAGCCCACCACCCGATGACACGACCACAGCAGCAACGACCACACGGACAACTGTCACAACGACTTCGCGGACAACTGAGACAAGCGATGAAGCTAGTACTGATGTAACTGCAACGGAGGAACCAAGCCTTCCGTACACTACACCACCTTCTTCTGACATTGAGACAACTGTCACTACCCGAACGTACGTCACATTTCCAAGGGAACCATTCCCTATACCATCTGAAACTGTCTCACCTGAAAGCCAGAATACGGACGCTAGTCTCGTACCTACCGAAGAGGTCATTCCTACCATAACCATAACTTCCGAATCAGGTGTCTTACCTGACGCAAACGAAATTACTAGCACAACTGGCTCAGCTGAAGAAGCTGAAACTACGCTTGCTGTGATTATGCCTGATTCATCTCCAGAAACTTTACCTCCGTCTTTGGAGACTGTTACCGAAAGCGCACCTCCACTTGTCACTGTCACACCGGATTCACACCCATCACCTATGACTCGCCCAACATCATTTGTCACCAGTGATAACTTTCCGATTCCTCTGCTGCCACTGAACACTAAAGCTTTACCCGGAAGTTCGTCTACTTTGCAGCCTAGCTCTCCTGAAGTTACCTTGGAGCCAACCTTGGAGCCAACAACAGAGAATGAATTCACAGTTTCGGTTACACCAGATACATCCCTTGTTACCGTAACAGCATGGCCAACGGAGATGGCTACTCATTCCATCACTGCGGATCACACATTGAGTTCCCTAAGTTCTGGCACAGAGTTGGAGGTGGAGTCTAGTGATGTTACCACACTCTCGTACGAGTTGACTTTTCCACCTCCTATGGAAATAACGACAGTAACTTCAGATGAATATTTTAGCACCGATAGCACAGGATACTTGGAAGGTACTTCCACGGTGACTCCTGCCGATATAACTACTCAAGCCGATTTACCGCCCATTCTGCCGCCTATTGTCATTCCAACGGGTTCAGCTTACAACTATGGAACTACTACTACAGTTGTGACCACTAAAGGAAAAACAACATTGGATCCATACTATGGAGTAGCATGCTCAAAACGTGGTGAACCAATTTGGGATCTAATCTGTGAGCTGAGCAAAGCTTCAGTTAGGAAAGATTGAGATGCCATTAGGTTTTTCATTGTTATTTGTATGCATATGATGAGAATGTATTTTTCTTTACATGGGTCTATAAATGTTTGTTTATTCCAATTTTCTATACCAACTTTTCGGCCCTGTTGCTGTGAAACACGATGCAACATACTGACGACTAAGGCCTTTCGCGGGCCAATCAAATTTCCTAAAATCACGAATATTCTTTCTACGAAATACCTACAAAAGTACCGAGAGGCTGACAATAACAGTGGAGTATATTATATCCAGCACAGAAGAAAACTCCAGGAGTTGGGCCTACGATAGTAGCCATTTCGGCGAAAATCAAGCCTTGACAGGTCATGCGTTTCAAGCAATCGTCAATCTATCTATGACTCAATAATAACTGGCTAAGGGTTGTTTACGCCTGTTTGTCAGTATGCCCGTTTGTCATGAAATTCATGAAGCGAGTTGGAGCCAAGGTCTTGAGCTAGAATTTTGGCCATGACACCCTATCAGCATGCAGGTAAACTGTGCAAAAGCACATT